TTTCGTGAAAAATCCTGTAAAACTGTCAAACAGCAAAATTACTCTCTGAAGTGAGAGTAAAAAGTGAGTAACAACAAAAAGTACGGGAACAAAAAAAATTTTTTTCCTGTAAAAACGTCAACCAGTGATTGCTTGACACTTTTCATGATTTTACCAGAAAAAAAGTTCGGGTAAAATCTTGCAACTTCATTCTCTACACAACTCTTCAAAAGTCGCTCTCATTTACAGGATTTTGGAGTACGGGAACATTTTTCCTGCAACTTCCTGCAAGTACGTGTAAAATCCTGTAACTTCATGGAGTACTGGATCAGAGCTAATGTGCAAGTTTGAATTAAAAGACAACGGTAGTAGGCTAGACGTAAATTTGAATAGGTTACAAAACTGCATACCCAAAAAGTTTCTAAAAATTCTGCATTTTCGTGAACTTGCGTAAAGTTTTATGACCTTATTCATAAAAATAAAAAAGGTTTATAAACTGAAAAATATATGAAAATGGCATTTTATTAAGCTCTTTAAACCTACTTTATTTTTTATGAATAAGGCCATTAAACTTCAACTTATTTCGTTTATGTTAAGCAACAGACACGCAGTATCAGTTTATTTTAAGTGATGGACAAAATTGAGTGATAGTAATCCATATAAGCAAAGAAAATTGGGTTGCCAATGGAAGAAAAAATTTAAAAAGTGTGTTTTTCAAAAAGTATTCGATACTACGAGTACTTTGCAAAGTATCGAGTAAAAGCACCAAATAAGTTATCGAGTATTAAAGTACTCATTTTTATACCCTCAGTATCGATACTTACTCAATATCGATAGTATCGTTCGAACCCTAGATGCAGTTAAAGAAAATACATGAAACGGAACGATTTTTTTTATTCAAAAAAATTTAAATATTTCAAAAACGATGACACTTTTACCTGAAAAATGTGTGGTTATCAGGGAGCTCACCCCCCACCAACCTTCTCCTCAAGTTTGGCAGGTTACTTCTGGGACACCCTGTATAACTCTAAAAAATAATTCATTCCATACAATTATTAACATAATTTCGTACATAATCTATTGAAGGAGTAAAAGCACTCAAGAAAACTCAATAAATATTTCACTAAGTTTGACGGAATAAAACTTTTATTTCATTGAAAACTAACTTATGAATGTACAAAATAATTGATTTTACTGCAGATATATTGGAATTAATATCTTATATTTTTTAAGTATCTTAAGTTAATATTTGCATAAAAAAATTTCAAATTTTCTCCATGAGAAGGGAACTATATAAGGACATTTTGAAAAATTTCAGATACAATTATAATATAAAATACGAATGACCCATTTTAATAAACCTTCCCGGGTTTTCTGCCTTCTGTAGATCAAGAAATCAAAAACCTACCCTTTACTGCAACAACAGCGCACTAGCTCTTCAAAAATCACGGAAAAAACCACCCTAATTTCCTGTTCAACTACAACCTTTGCGGGCGTATGTACAATACTACTACTTACAACCTTTCAGTGTAAATGCACAATATATTGTAAATTTTTTTTAATATTTTAAATCATGATAGTTTAATTTTAGCATTTTTATATGATGAAAAGCTTTTTATATTTCAATACCATGTGCTTTTATTAGCGATTTTACTTGACTTTCACGTATTTTTTGTACAGTAAATTACCACAACTTGCGTGGTAATGGTCTATTTTTAAATTAAATTCCAATAATATTTTTGAAACGTTTTCGATTTTAAAGTTTACGTAAACTATTCCGGACATTCCAAAACTTTATAAAGTTTAATTTGTTTTCAAAAATATTAATACAATTTTTAGTAGCACGTTTCCAATTTTACAAAAAATTAAACGTACAACATATTGTATAAATGCAGGGAAAGGGTTAAAACTTTTTCTCATGCTAACGAAGTAATACCGAAGTAGGTACTACAGATTAAAACCGGTATATTTAGAGAATGAAAAATCTAATCGCAACAAACGAAAATATGAAGGTAGATTCTTTTAAATTCAGCGCTGCTACAGCTTTAAATATTTCAAATTATTTCATTTATTTTATTTTAATTATCTATGAGAAATTTGAGTTCAGAAGAAGAGCACTAAAAAAGGCACTAGGCACTAAACAATTTTTTTTGGCATTTTAATTTTCAAAAAGCACTAAATCTAGTGCTTAAAGCACTAAGTTGGCAACTATGCAGACAATTACTCGACAACACACAACAGCCTCGCTCGTTTAACAGCCCTATTCTGTCAAACCTCACAAATAAATTGTGAGGAAAACAATTGTGACTTTTTTGTCAGTTCTATTTTGTGAGGTTATTCACAGCCAAACCTCACAAGAACACAGCTCTTTAAAATTCACCACTTGAGGTGAAAAGTGTTTTGCTGTCAAACGGCCATATTACAAATGAAAAACAGCGCGAAAGATGCAGGCTGAACAACAAGAAAAGTAAGTACTTTTATAAAATGTAAAGTTTGCTGTATAATATCGATCCAAGTTCGAAAGAAACTCGCAGGAGCAGCTGCAGTATTTTATAAGTTTCTGCAAGGACCACCCGGAGCTTCAACGAGGGAAGTTCCAACCAAGTAACCCCCAGTTAATACAAAATTTATGGTCAGAAGTGGCAGACACCCCAAATTCAATGCGAGGGCCCACTCGAACTGTGGCAAAGTGGAAGGAAGTAGGTGTGTTAGTTTTTTGTATTCCTATTTTTACATATGTATATATTTTCTGTTTAGTCGCTTATGCATTGGAAACACCAGTTGCGCAGTCGCGCACGCAGGCTGAAAGCACAACCGCATGTGACTGGCGGAGGACCTCTTATTCCTGACATATCCGAATTTGAACAGCAGGCAATCGATACCTTTGGGGCAGCAGCGGTGGATGGAATCTCCGGTGTGTCTTGCACATTGGGTCATGCCGTATTTAAAAAATTTATATTTCAATAGGAATTGTTTGTAATTATATTTCGCAATTCGGGGAATTGCTCAGTGATTTTTCTATGGGTGTGCGGAACGGAAGTTGGCATTGTTTTGAATTAAAGTTCCATCTATTAGTACACACGCATATAATAATTTTTAAATTCGGTTAGCGCATTTAAAAACATTAAGGAAATAATTTAACCGTTCTTCGAAATTCTAAACTCTTCCCTATTTAAAGTACACATTCATATCTGTGTTCGTATGGAATAGTAGCTTATGTCGGGAAGCTGGATTTAGTATAATACGGTATTCCCTTTATTCTTTAAACGACAAGGAATATTTTCATGAGACTTAATTAGAATATTGACTTGCTAGTATCGGAACTATTTCTTGCACGTTTATTTGCCAAAAGTTCTTCAACGGCTCGGCACTAGTGCTGCAATTTGCTAAAGCCAGCCTTTCGAAATAAGCTACTATTCCATACGATATATGTATATGCAAAAATAAGTATACTATGTTTTAACGATTTGTTTAAAATTTTATTAAGGTTGAATCATCGGTGACCATCGTTGTCGATGAGACCATTCCATCGGCTAATTCCGCTCCCATTACTCTTCAATCTCCTTTACATGAGTCTCCTTCTGCTACTACGTCTTGTTTTGTATTACCAGCAACTACTTGTCTTGAGGTTGCACATTCTGCTTCTCCCACTTCTGCTTCTGTATATTCTGATGTGGCTCCAGGTACCCCCACTTCTGTAAATCGCTCAGCAACTATTTCTTCGCATGGTGTCGTGCCCAATGTTGTGGTATCTTCTGCTGTTTCGTCGCCAACTGTTCAACGGAAATTGACCGTAGCAAAAGTTTTGAATACTGTGATGACCAATTTGGAAGCTTACGCACTTACGCAAATTACGCAAGCGCTTAATACGATCAGTCAAGCATTGAACAAGTTGACTGAAAAGCTAGACAAATTGTAGGGCGCTTAAAATCTTTAGATACTTGATAATTTTGAGAGTACAAAAAGGTAAAATCCATATGAATTCTTTTTAATTTTAGCACATTCTTCATTAGAATCTTTATGTTATAAAAATAGTTAAAACTCGTAATTTCTGTATTTTTTTTAATCTAAAGCTGCAATATGCATATAAAAAAGCACTAGTTATACACTGGTGGACCGATAACTGAAAAATATTTATCTTTTAATTGATTTAATTTTGATTGGTATGATGGATTTAATCGAATTACAACTCCCACATCGTTTTATGAAAAAAATAAAAGATATTAGTCACGACTTTTTCCATTTCAGTTACGAAGTTATTACGTCTTTTTGCATTTCAGGTGACGATATGTATGTTCGAAAATGAGCAACATCGTCAGCGAAATAATTCTCAAAAATCAACGAAATTTTTGAGCTAATTCAAACTTACACAATATTACTTAAATTGAATGAGCTATTAAACTGCACACCATAATTTTTTATAGAAATTCCGATTAAAAAGTTAAAAATTTTGATGACCATTTTTTGACCTTTCACGAATTATTATAAATCTTGTTCAAAGTTGAGTTACTTGATTTTCATTGTGACATGCATTAGGTTTACCTAACAAAATAAATTAAATCTAATAAATAAAAATGGATGATCAATACTTGTAAAGACAAAACGGTTTTAGTTATCGGGATACCAGTGTATGTATATTTGAGTGAGACTGTTTGTAAATGATAGACTGTCAATGGCCAAATGTCGTCTGCTATTATTTCTTTTAAATACATAGTTTCAAGCAAAAAATTAAATTTTATTCAAAGTAGAACCAAATTTCTAAACTTATCCAATTTATATGGTCGACAAGTTTTCACAAAACATTTTTTTGTTGTTTAATATTAGTAATTTTTTTATAAAAAACCATTGTAACCAAGTTTCAAACTGCATACACACATTTTTTCTAAGAAATCGAATTAACGAAAGTTTATTCACATGTGTTTGGAATATTGGACAGAGTTTGAAACTTGGACTTACAACGGTTTTGCTAAAGAAGGAACTTTATTTTTTATATAAAAACTTGTCAATATGTGGTGCGACTATCATTTTTTCGACCACTGTATATTTAAAGAGTTGTGGTTCTTAGAGACATTATGTACCGTTCCCTTACTCTTGCACCCTCGCTTGCATTTGAATTTTCTACACCTTCGATCACAACTTCGGAATCTTCCAGTTCTACAACTTCTTCGAATCCAAGGTCGGCAGCCACGCCATTCTTCAAAAGAATATTGTGGAGAATCGTACAAGCGTATATAATAGTCGCAGCTCTTTCGGGGCTATAATTCAATATGCGGTGTTTCGACAGGCATCGAAATCGCGACTTCAAAACACCGAAAGCTCTTTCGATGGTATTGCGTGCTTTAGCGTGCATCTTGTTGTACTTAATTTCCCTACAGTGTGAGGACTCTGCCACAGGTGTTAAAAGCCAAGGCTCCAAAGGATACCCCTGATCGCCTAACAGCCACGAATCACTTTGTGTGCTGTAATTTCTCATCAAATGCATTCGTGTTGGGGATGTGGTCCAGATGCCAGAATCGTGACAAGAGCCTGGATATCTCGCATTGACTACAGTAAACACGAGTCGATGGTCCCAGACCTTTGATATTGTTAAAATGGTTTTGGATTGTAACATTTAACGATCATTTTATAAAAATTAACTTTTACTTACTGCCTCAACATTTATGCTATAAAACCCCTTCCTATTCATAAAGAGAGAAACGGGAGTTCTGGCGTCTGTGGTCGTTGGTGATATAATCCCAATGTGTGTGCCATCGACTGCTCCGATTGTACCCTTTATTCCAAATTTGTATAGAACCTATAACAATTTTTAAACATGAACATTTATTACGAAATAGTTCTGGGACTTGACCCCTACCCTCTTTTCACTTCTGCCACCTCTTGTAGAGTTGATGGAAAACGCACTTCACCCGCCTTAACATCCACGATTATCTTCGATATGAAGTGCAGAGCGCAGGAAACCGATGCCTGGCTCATTGAAATGGAATAGCTATTCCCAACACATTTTTGATAAGACCCATGCGAGTAGAAATACAAGCAAGCAAGGAAGCGAAGAGTAAAGGGCATATCGGACTTCTGAACATCATTCGGTTCCAATTCTTGTATCAACGCTCGACATAGGGATTTTGGAAACCGGAACATTTGCAAAAATATAACATCCTCCATGGAAAACGGATCACTTTTGTAGCGCATGCTCTTCAGAAGCCTCCTTCTCTTTATCGCTTCCTCTTGTCCCTCCATAACTGCCGCACACACAAGTAATAGCTCCTCCATTATTTTCACATTAATTGAAACAAACGCAAGAATTTAATAAAAAAATGCTCAAAAAACAGCTGTTTTTGCTTTGTGAGGTTCATATGTCGTCATCACAAATTTTCTGACAATTGTGAGCTTTTTATGTTTTGTATTTTCGCCAGCATAGGGTGAACCTCACAATAGCAGAGAACGTATATTTATAGAGAAGGACCAAGAACGGATCAGCGTGGAAACTGTCAAATACCAACAAAACTGGCGAAGAGCATTTTAAGAGCGGCAAGCCAGAGACAATCGAATTTTAACAGAGCCCAGCCAGAGGCAAAATAAATTTAACAGAAATTGTCTCATCAAAGCAAATGCATATTTTTCTTGTTAGGTATGAAATGCCGATGGCTTTTAACGTTTTTACAACGCTATTATTGTTCTTTATATTGGTTAATTATTTAAAATAAATGCATGCATAGGTCGAAATATGTAATATGTACACATTGTGTACATGCATATGTATGCGAGAGATACAATTTTGTGAATCTAAAATGTGAAAGTTATGCAAATATGTAGTATGCAATTGGCAAATTCGTTGGTGATTTGCCGTCGGCATTTGGGTTGAAAAAATCTAATTTTACTTTTTTACCGATTTATTTGGGACTGAGAAACTTTAACTTAGAGTCGGCTTTATTTGGTCTACGAATATGTCCCAATAGTTTTGGAGTCAAATGAAAATGCATTTCCACATGCATACGTATGTACATACGTACTCCATTAACTGATGACGTTTTTACATGCATACATATATATGTATGTATGTGCATATTACTGCCAAAATACTACGCACGTACCCACAAATGTACATATTTACAACTCACGGCAGCATACATACATATGCACATAATTACACGCATACTCAAATACAACAATAACTATTTCTTTCCTAACCGCATGCGCGTATTTCTCAAGGCCAAGTAAATTCATTCATAAAAATAACCGCAGCACATCACCCCGCAAATTCATCTCCTTCAAGCGCAACTTTTTCAATCCGACACAAAAATTCTAAAATCTTAAAATGAAGAAATCTCGGCCAGCCAAGTGAAAAGTGGCAACTATTTCTCTATATCCAGTATTTCTCTATATCTAGTTTTTAAATATCTAAACTTTGAAGGGAATTTTATTACGACCTTTATTTTCGTTACCATTTTAAAATTACAATTCTGAATTCTATCAGTTATATTATAAAATAATTATGCGTTTAAATTGTTAGACCAAAGTGCATTATCTTAGCCATCCGAGGTACTGCTCCAATAATATGTTGGATATGTATAGCATATACATATTTTACCAAAAATTTACTTACAAAATCAAAATTATTGGAAATTATCGCTCAAATTTTCCAATGAATTTGAAACGAAAGGTCAAAGTAAAAGCGAAACAAAGAAACAATGATACCTGCGCATACTTTTTTCACAAAATTGTCTGCTCCATTTTTTGTTCCAGAAATGAAATTTAAATAAATAGAGTAGGCATTACTGTAACGCTGGTATGCCAAAATTACAACAACCACCCCCTAAGTGACAACACCTTATTATTATTTCACCATGGGTTTATATAATCTTCAGAGAAATGTTAAAAAATATTTAAAGATGTGACTGGTGGGACATTTCCTTGTGACTGGTATAAAGTATATAATGGTATAAGGTGTTTTTTTTTAATATATTCCAACAAATTAATGAAATGTAGTCATTTAAAAGGGGGTTACTACTGAAACAGAGATAATTAAGGCATATTTAAATTTATATCGTTTTCCTCTTTTCAGTGGAATGACCCATAAATCAAAGTTTCACACTTTATATAAAGCATCGTACAGTTCCATAAGTAAAGTAACTCTTCTTATTACCGTTTTTCCTGGCAGGTAGGTGTATATTTGGCAGGCTGTAAGTGTGTTTTTGGTTAGTGTATTGGTGTTTTTGGTTCAATGCGTTAGAGTATTTTGAATAATTTGTAATAGAAATGGAAGAAATTGTAATAGAAATGAAAGAAATTGAAAAATATAAGAGAAAATGCCAAAAAAAGGTGATCTCAGCTGTAAGCATTTTTCGGCAATCAGCTGATAGTGTTTTTACTTAGGAAACTGTACGATGATATAAAGTTCACAAAAGTTCAAAAAAATTTCATCAAAATTTCCAACGTTTTTTTAAAAATTTCTAGAAAACGTTCGAGTATGCAGTTTGGTAGCCCGTTCACTTTTAGTGAAACAAAATGCAAAATTCAAGTTGCTAAAAATTACCGTTGAGTTTTTAGAATTTTTTTTTTTTGGTGGAGGATATTGCGCATTTTCTTCCATATAACGCAGGGATTCCCAAAGTGGTTCAGGTTGACCCCCAGGGGTTCACGGAAGACTCGACGGGGGTCCACGGTGACGCGAAAAAAATATAGGGGTCCACGAAGATTTATCTGGTTTCGATGTAAAGAACCAAAATGGTTGCTTGATAGCCTCTTTATTTAACTTAAATTTTTTTGAGTGGTGTATAGTGCTCTTAACGCACTGCTGCACTTACCGTCACTTTGTGTTTTCATACGTGGGGAAGCCTAAAAGGCCACCTAAAGACTAAAAAGGTCATGATCTGGGGTCTTTTTCGAGGTTAATGGAGATAAGCTTCACTTTTGTGTAGGGGAATATGCTTCGGTCTTCCAGGCTGAGGTGATTGCAATACTCAAAGCCATGGACTACGTGGTGGAACATAGGTGGAGGGGAAGGAGTTTACGTGACTGCAGTGACCACACAGCTGCACTTAAGGCTTTGACCGGCACTCTATTTAAGTACTTCCAAACTAGTTCGGCAATGCAAGTCTCGTAAAATAACTAAAATATGATGGTGAACATAACGAGGTTGTTTTACTCTGGGTGCCAGGTCACTCCGGAGTACCTGGTTATCAGACATCTGATCATTTGGCCAGAGTTGGCTCAGACAAAACTCATCTTGGCTTCACAAGGTCTGTCTAATTTGTTGCTATCACTGAGCAGACGACACTGCAGACAACTGACTGGACTGCTGACTGGTCACTTCACGGGGCTCAAACACCTGACTGTGATAGGCGTAAATGTCAAGTCCATTTTCCCTCTTGCCTTGAAGAAGATGAGTCGGTGAACACTTTTTGTGCTTCTTGCTTGCTTGGTTATTTGTCATAGATTTTTTGAACTCGTTCTTTTCTCTGTTGTGTTTCTGAATTAAAAGTTTGGCGTAAAAGGTTTAGCCGTTTTGATGCTTTAAGTTTTGCGTTTTAAAAATGAGATAAATATTTTTCGCCTCACTTAAAAACTCGGAGCGATAAAAATGAAAATGATGTCATTATTACAAATAAACTATTTTTCATATACTCCACGTACAAAGTCATGAGTGAGCCGAACATTTGATGAGCTTATGGTGAAGATAATGTAAATAACGCTAGCTCTCGCAGTGCTCTTAAAAAGTATAACTCTTCCGAGCGAGAGAGTATTTTATGTATTTACGAGCTCTATTTTTTAAAGCCTACAAGTGTGTAATCACATTATTTTTATAAACAGAACACAAGAAAATATTTTACTTTTATTTTGGCCACTCTGAGTTTAGTTTTTGAATTCACCCGCGATGCAGATTTACATTGTTAGATCTCATTTTCAAATTTAATTTTTTTACAAGCTTTGGGAATGTATCAACAGGGGGTCCATCGAAACCAGTAAATTTTTTAAAGGGGTCTACGAGAAAAAAAGGTTGGGAACCTCTGATATAACGCATGATCAAAATCTATTTTTATATGGAAGAAAACGCACAACACACTCCACAACAAAAATTCTAAAAAATCAGCTGTAATTTCTAGGGATTTGAAACTTGCACTTGCACTAAAATTAAACGGGCTACAAAACTATATACTCGAACATTTTCTAGAAATTCTGAATAAAACTTTTGAAATTTTGATGGTAATTGTTTAAATTTTTGTGAACTTCATATAAAGTGTGACACTTTGACTTAGATGGTTATTTTTATACAATGAACTACATATATTTTCATAAATAATTAATGAAAAAACTTGCTCATGAAAATAATTGTGAATATTATAGTAGAACAAGGTGTACACTTACATTTGACCTTGACTGTATGTATGTATGTACATATTTATACCAATCGTACGTATGGATGTGTATACAAGCATATCTACTCGTTTACAGATTAAATCAGTGGGTCTCGAAAATGGAGACTTTCACTTTCACTTGCAACAGCTGAATGCCCTCGGCAGAATAAAAGCCATTGTGGGGTTGGCTACAGTAGCCCGCGCTTTCAGCCACCCTTTTTTTCAGTGTACGAAGAATATGCCCAGCATCAAATATTTAAGTTGAAGAAAAAAAAACACAATGAAAGCAAGTGAATGGCAGCGTTGCCGAAAGCTTTCGCTGGAAAATCATCCCTTTACCCTAAAAAAATCGCCATTTCGGCCAAAAAATCGTTTAGCTTTTGTTTATTGTATTTTTTTTTTTAACAAAATAAAAATACAAAGGAATTACATACAATGAGTCATATGCATAAAAACTAAGCAATCGCGTTTTCTTAAAATTGCATACCTTTAACTTAAATTTATTTGAACAAATTGAGTAAAAGGGTCTGAAATTAAAAAAAAAACACTTGTTTAGGTTTTACACATTACAAAACCAAATGGAACCCACATTGGATATGGATTAATAAAAGTGGATTTGCAATTGTTAAAGACAATTTAAAACTATAATCTAAAACACAACTGCCTTTAATTACATGAACTGCACTGGGTTTAGGTTTTTGAAGATTTTGAAGATTTTAATCCAGTTTTAAAATAGGGGTCTTCACACCGAGCTTGGTACTCGGTGTGCGGTAATTTTTGCCAATTTATTTTGTTTGTGTAAAATTATTTTTTTATCGGTGTACCGGTTACCGA